CTCTCTCTCTCTCTCTCTCTCAAACCTACCGCTGATACCAATACTCTTCATAAGTCATAAGTTTGTTATTAAACTTTGTGTGATTGACGGTCAGGTATGTGCCGATCCAACCGACGCTATACGTCACTTGTCGTACAAACTGGTCAGCCGTCAGCATATCTTTAGTCAGTTTCATAGCCTTTACTAACATTGTGTCAAAACCAGTTGTGCCCTCACTTTCGCCCAACAGAACCTTCTTCTGCCACTCGCTATGCAATCAATACATAATATTATGTTTCAAAATACAAAATACATTATAATTTGGTTAAATCACTATAATATACAATTACATTACAACGGCAACTATAATGGCATACATACCATATGATGTGCTTGTTTTCATTGTTCAATTCCAGGTTATCCAGGTGATCGTCCAGCATAAAGCCCCAAATCATCCAATAGTTGACAGTATAGGCGTATAACTGATTCTTTGTGGTGAACGTATAGTCCTGAGAGCCGGTGATGTCGGCGCTGTCGGTCAGGGGTTTACCAAACGCTTCGGACAACTGTTGGTTAGAGTCGGCCGTAGAGTTCGGGTAATGAGGGTTACGGCCGGTCTGTTCCCCGACGATACCCCGGATCTCAAACGACATGAGCATCTCGTGAGTTATGCCTGAGATGTGTCGGGCGTTGGAGTAGTCCTTGTTTTTGAACTCCTCGGGCATCGTTTCCACGAAAGTCAATTTAGGTGCTAATTTGGTAAACACGTTGGGCATAGTTGGTTTCTGTTTTTGATGATTGAAATTGATTTAATTGACACTATTATTATTAATGTGATATAATTTTTGTGTTAAACATTAATTATGGCAATTATAGCATATTGTGGTAAAATTATGTAAAGTTATAATAATATAATAATAATATTTATAATAATATATGTTTGAGACAATTTACCTTGTATTTGATCAACAATTTATCACCACTAATTCTAATTCAACATTTATTTTAATATACAATATGTTATTATTCCAGATGGACATTATTGGTAATTTTTAAATTAATATTAGTTTAAATAATTTACGTTATATTCAGTTTATTATTGATAGTAAAATTATTAATGATTAAACATTTAGTTATTTTATTTCACGTCAAATACATTATCGCTACAATCGTTATTAATACAAAACATATTATATCAATTAGGATTTATCATAAAACGTTATAAATTTACAATAATTAGTTTAATTATTTAAATTCTTAAGTAAAATTCAAAATTTATTATTGTGTATAAAATTATGTCAATTATTAACTCATAAATAATGCTAATTTATATCATTATATCTATTTAGAACGAGATTTGAAATAATTATATGTATTAAAAATACAATAAACTACTAATAAATACTAAAGTACTGTAAAGCAAAACTGTAATACATATATACTGTAAACTGTATATATTTATATATTTATAATAAAGCATTAGTCAGTTTATAGTGTGTTTTGAAAAATTAATTTCTTAAGTGAATTGAATTTATTCAATATATTATGTACATGTAGCATTGTCAAACATATAGGAATTTCCTATATTATATAGGAATTAAGGAATATTTGCTGAATACAAGAATTTGTAATTCCTGTACATTAATAAATACGATAATTAATATTTCAAGAATAAGTATATATACAGAGGTTTTGGTCAACTCTCAGATGAATATAAAATTATAAACAAGCTCAATTAATTATTTATAGTAAATAAATATTATAGTTTACGCTAATTTTGCGTTCAAAAACTTAAATAAACACTCATTATTATTGTTCTTTAATGTTTCAACGAGCTCGTTCAATTCATTATTATGCTCAAGATCAATCTGATTGTTTTCCATTGCGTTGATTAATTGTGTTGTTGTCGGGCGACCAGCATATTGAGTATTGATCATCATGATAATCATTTGTCTTATTTGCTCCAAGTAATCATCAGTTGGAATGCTCCTGGTAGTTTAGATAACATTATTTCAATTAGAATACAATGATTTATTTTAACTATAATTTATAAGTATGTTCATAATCAATAATAAGGGAAAGGGATAATTATTAATTATAATAGTTGAAAATATAAATTTTACAAACAAACATTACCAATCAATATTGAATAGCTTGGCGGCAATCATACCGAGACTATAAACATCACTGGCGCGCTTATAATAACCATCGTGAGTCTCGGGTGCCATTGTGCCACGGGTACCAATACCGGCCGGGCCCACAATTGTACTGCCAACCTCGCCGGTCCGGCACGTGATGGCCTGACCCAAGTCACACAGTTTGCAAAATATACCAAAACTGCCTGCGTTCGGGTCGAACAGAATATTCTTTGCTTTTAGATCTCTATGTATGTACGGGGGCTGACGGGTGTGCATGAAGTGTAACCCCCGGAGCAGCTCTATGAACATCTCGCACCCGATGTAACGCCGGATCCGTCGGACTAGTGCGGGGTTAAAGTTGGCCGGTATTCTACCGAATGTGTTGTCCATTAGTTGTATAATTTGAGCTAGGTTGTAGGGACAATATTGCATCTGGATAAACGCGTGCATATTATGCTCCCAATGTGTAATGTGCTTTACCACGTAGTCACTTGTCAGTTGCTGCAGGGCATTGATCTCGGTCATATAAGTGTCTAAAATTTAAATTAATTCAAATAGTAAATTTAATAATTTATATTATTTAATTTAACTAGCAAATAAAATTAATCTTACCAGACGTGTAAATGATTTTAATAGCGTACTCGATTCTATCTACCAAACTAGTTGCTTTATAAACATAACCGTAAGCACCCTGGGCAATTCTAATAACATTGGTAAAATTAGCGCCATGGTCACCCCAGCCATTTGTGGGATTGTGGGATTGGGTCGGGTCAGGAAATCCCGTCACACTATTAATGTCATTAGGGTTATTTTGTACCGTATTAATTACCCTTCTAGACTGATTATTATTCTGCGTGCTTTGGCCCGTGTTGGGTAATTTTTGAGGTACAACTGCCCTAACGCTATTATTATTATTTTGAGCATTATGATTAATTATGCCATTATTGACGCTATTATTATGACTCGTAGGCGCCAAGGGTTGTGGTGCAGCGGGTGCTGCGGGATTGTGCTGGATAAATAGACTTGGTACATTATTTTGTACACTATTTGGTACATTGGTGGTCTTTCTATTTGCCTCTATCATATCACTTGCATCTTGGTTCACGTTACCATGCGCATCTATTAATAGTGTAGCAATCTCATGGTTTTCAACAAAGTGACCTCGGGCTCCGGGTTTTGTGGGTAATGTACGCCAACGTCGTCTTAACACAAAAACCACGATTGCTATTATTAGTGCCAATAGGGATATACTAATAATAGCTATTAATGAAGTTTGGTCATTTAAAAAGCCGTTATTAGTATTAGATGCATTTGTATTATTATTGTCAGCTGATATGGCTTTGCTAGGCGTGACCGATATAGATGACATTGAGTTCCGATTACAGTAGGATATATCATGTTCAAATAGTGAACATGCTAAGTCAGCGGCCCTTATTTGATCGATTGGCCGACCACCAGCCTGGCCTTGGTGCAATTGGATACAGGTGTTCTATGTGTAAATGTTAGTACAATTTATATAATGTTTATATTTTGTTTATTAATTGTTATTAAATTATTATCTATTAAATATTGACAAATAGTTTTACAGTTTGTTTATGTACAAAAAGGCTTGATATTTCTCATTTACATTTACAAAGGATTTATCCTATTTTTGAATAATATTTGCATTAATTTAATGCTATGGATATTTAAATAATCTTTCCATAGAGTTCAAACTTACAAGCAAGAAAGTGTACAGGCAAGTTTACAAACATCAAATATTAATTAGATATTCATAATCAAATATTTACACAACAAATATGAGAATATAGATGCTTGATTGTTACAAAAAATATATAATTTACTATAATTGTAGAATATTGTGAGAATTGTACGTAATGTCTAAAATATAAACGTGCTCATAACAAGTACATTTATATGGAAATATCTTTATATTGAATTATTTTTATCTACATTTATCAAACAATAGACAACTATTGTGTGATTCACTTAATTATTACACATACCTAGTGTGTGAAGTCTATTGTTAAGTCAAATTATTTATTACATAATATATGTGTGAAAATGCAAATGGCTATGTTTAACTACAATCAAACACCAATCTTATGGGCTACACCTCATATATAATAAAATTTTGGAATTTGAACTATGTTTGAAATAGTCGTAGTCAACTATTGGACAACTTTACTTTTGTACCATACTACAATTTAAAAACTATTGAAAACAATAAGCCTAATTATTCTCCTTATAGCTCCACCCCTGTGGTGTGATTTTACTATAATGTGTTTTATAACACACCATACATTGTGATCATCGATGAATCAGCATGTTCTCGTCACAAATACTATAGATAAGTATTTCTATTTAAGAAATTTATACATTAACTAATATTCCGTTTATTTGTAGTAACAAATTCGGACATAACTAATTAATAAATGTAAGTAAGGGTACATTAACAATTATGTCTCAAGTTTAACAAAATCAGCATTTTAACATTATAAATTTTAAGCTACAAAATATTATTATTATATAGAAATTATTAGAAATGCATAATAACTATGTAAATAGGTTGCCATAAAATATAGTAACTGTAAATATCCAATTAGAAATTAATACAAACAAATTACTAATAAATTATTTTAATATGTAAAACTAATTAATGTTTTATAGCACAAAATTACATATTATTAATTTAAAGTAAATTGTATCCAAATAATGTACCTTTAGACAGCTAAAGCGACATTGGTGTTTAATCCAAAATGCACAAATAGTTGTGACCATATCTGGTTTATCCATACCATCATTAAGTTTATTATAAATACCATTCATACAAAAATAAACATTGCCACATTTATCTCCGGCTTGACCAGTGTCAATCACTGCTAATATGACCAAGCACAAACTTACTAAAGCTATTTGTAGCATAATTTAATGTACAATAATTTAATTAATTATAAAATAATTTAACTACTCTATAAACAGGAAACATAATTGCAACTAAACAACGAAATACAAACGCATCCAAAATAAAAATATCATTAATAAATGTCTTCATTCAATAAGACAATAATATTCTTTGTGTTATTATCTAGATACCAAAGCAACTATCACAAAAAATAATGTCAACCCTTTACATGTACTTTGCAACTTTTATAATGTTTTATAAAGTGATGTAACTGTTTATTACAACTTACGTTTAAGGTGTAAATAAAATATGAAAAAGTTTTATAAAAGTTAGAGGACCAGATTTAAGGGCATGGATATTATAAAGTAAGTAGTAAACAGCCAATATTGTATAACCTCACTATACAATAGTGGCTCTAGAGTAGCTCGATAGCCAAATAGTGTACATTACTCATGAATGAATTATGGTTATAATTTATAACTTATAAAACGCTGGAAAATTAACTAATATCAAAATGTATTATGATTGCATATTGTATTATGATTATCTTATAAGATGAATTTAATTTAGTAATTGGTTCATGTTTTACCAATTAAAGCTATTTAGGCTAATATCAATATTACTTATTACAAATCATTAATAGAATTGATGATTTTTACCCTGTTATTCACTTACAATGAGATGTTTATAAATGTGTGTTTGATAATTTTGTTAGTAATAGAAATTGAGTTACTATTAACGAGTTACGATTAAGTTATATTATTATGCTGATAATTATAATAATTATACATTATTGTAAGTTGATGTGTTAATTAAAATTAAACGTTTTAATATGCATTAAAAATAATTTTAATTAAATAAGCATGTATTATTATAATTTATAAAAATACATGCAATTTTGTGTTGATACTAAAAAATCAAACTTAAATAAAGATTTAATTAAAATACATATTGGAAAATCATAAAATCTATCATAAATAACAGATTTTATCAAATATTTTACAATACTGTTTGTGGCTAAAGATGTTACCCCAATGGCACATGAGGGTAATTGTTTGCTCTCTTTTTATAATAAATGACCACGGCAATTATTACTATTGTTAGTAATGTTAGCCCAATTATAACCTCGATTGTAATGTGGGTAATTGTCGGTTGATCACCACCATGGTCATCTAACGGCTCAAATTCTTGACTGACAGTGGGTGCGATTGTAGGTCTTTTGCAGTAAGATAAGTCGTTTTGATATAGCGTGCATGCTAAATCTGTGGCCACCATTTTATTGTTGGCCCCACCTTTTGCCACAATATCGTGCACGTGGTAACAATGGTCCTGTTTGTACATTTAATTATTTAAACATTTATTAATTATAGAAATATTTATTATAGAAATAAGAATAGTTATTTAAATAATAAATAGACGAGTACACCGTAAAATTATAATTACCCTGATACAACTAAACCGACATTGATGTCTTAACCAAAATTGACAAATATTGGTAACCATGTCGATTTTGGCCATTTGATTGTTTAACTTATTAAATATGCCATTTATGCAAAAGTACGCATCACCACAATTGTTTGCTCCACGCCCGATATCAACTGTGCCCACCAAGATGACCATGCACACAATTAGCAATGCCATTGATTTAATAATAGTGATCGTAGTTTGTATAACCTGTTTATATAAGAAACTATTACTATTATGTAGACTAATATTGTGTGGCGTGACATTAGATAGTATTGCACTACTTTTACTGTATATCGAAAGGTAGATTGCATTTAAGATACAACATGTACATTTTTACCGGAATTATATTAACTAAATTTTGTGCATGTATGATAGTTTACATCTTAATGTTTACAATAGCTATAATGATTAATTAATAACAATTTATTATAAGAATAGATTAAAACTATAATTTTTATATTAACATAAGTTATCATTAATTAATTATGTTTATTATTTATGATGGGAAATGCAATTGTTCAATTTATTGATAATGATTTTGTTTTAATTACAATTAATAGATTCGGCTAGATTAAAATTTGCAAATTCATATACCTCTCATCGAACCATTGTGTTGTAGTTTATGCACTATTTACAAATTTAGCATTACGTTTATAATCAATACTTATAAAATACTTTGTACGGTAATATATAAACATTGTTATTTCATCTTGGACTATTAAAGATTAAATTCTACAAAAGTTTGAAAATTATTTAATTTAATAAATTTATTTAATTTAGAAAGTTAATAGACTTTTTATAGACTACTCATATAATACTCATATAAATAATTAAATCAATCAACTTTAGGCATAGCTTGATTTAATCTATTTCCTTGAAATACATTATAAATTAACCACAGATTATGTAAGCTTTGCATGTTTTGGTATTCATTTTGCACATTTATGATGATTTTGTTTAAAAAACTATAATTTAAAGTTTTCCATTGATTAAGTGTATTTGTGGCAACATTTCCAATAACAGACATTTCAATAGTATTTTTAAAAATGCCTAAATTGTAAAAATCAGATATATTTGGAGCCTATTATTATCCCTAAACCTAATGGTTTTTAAGTTCCTTTTGTTAACACAAACAATATCATGAAATATTTAGCGTAGCTACCTTTGATGATAATGTTATGTTGGTGTTATTTAGTGGTAAATAGAATGCCGACAATAATAATTAATTCTTTATAATGCTACAATTGTATTTGCCACATTTCTTGGTAAATTATCTGTTGATTAACGTATAAAACTAATATATTTAAGGTTTTTGAGTAAAACTTTGAGTTAAATACAATTTTGTGTGTTTTGAAATCTCACTTATAATCAATGCACACATTTTCGCAAATCTTTGATCTACTATATTTGCGACAAACTGTACATGTACATTAAATGTACATTACATGTATATTAAATAATAAGTGACCTTAATATATAATTTCTCGTGTTTATAAAGAGAAAGCGAAAAATAAAAATATGTTTAACAAACTTATTCTAAATAAACAATAGTTTTAGAAATTTGTCATATTTAAATTATATCATACATTTAATGCAGGTAAACCTCGTTATGCTAAATTAAAGGGATTATATTGCAAATTTAAAAAGCTTTTTTTTATTTGTGTTGATATAAACAAAATGATAAACTAATGGATAAAATTAGGTATGTAGATTTTAAATGGCAGACAGTATAAATCTAAGAATTTTTACACTTTCAAGCACACAGAATTGTCTGATTGGTTACAAAATGTTGATATAAATCTTGATTTAAATTTTATTTTGAACAATTCGGTATTTTTTTAAACCACCCGGGCAGATTTCGAGTTATTGATACCTCTCACTATAAATAATGCATACGACATGTTTACTTGACTATGCGATAAACTCAAACAATTAAAAAAGTAATGTGTTTCAGAAAACTCAATAACAAAACTACTACAAAATACTACTATCAAAATGTTTGTGTCATATTATTATTAATAATTTATTAAACATGTTGTATAAAAATATCAAATTTAACCAGGTGTAACATTTAAATAGAAAATTACAAATTAAACACAAAAGCCTAAAAACACTAAATTACAGCTGATATCTGAAAAATAACACATTCTGTAACAATAGATAATATATTCACATTAAATGTATTGGCAGCCAATTGAATGCTTAAATTTACAAGGTGACTATCAATAAATTATTGTCATATACTGATAAGTCTCAGTTATAAACGGAAGTTAATCGAGGCAATAATAAAGCAATTGCTATAATTATTCTTATAGTGATAGGTGTTATGACATGTTATTTGTGCTAAACTATCGTATTATATTTTGAGATCTCTAATAAATTTTAAAATTAATAAAATAGCATTAATAATATAAAATATTTTAAAATGATAAAGACATTATAAAGCATCAAATATTTGTTTACAATATAGTGGGCGCGCACTACGGGCTATGTTCTGCACGCCCCAACCATTGCACATACCTCGTTGAAAGTGTTGAACACAATTGAAATTAAAAGTAATTTAATGTTTAACCTCTTGAATAGAATAAACAACAAATGTATACAATAAGTCAAATAAAGTGAGTCTCGAAAGTGAGGTTCAGGTGATAGAGCTTATATAATATTGGTTATGGTAAAGGAATAAGCATTAGTTACCGTAAAGAAGTTCTTATCAGGTTAAATATAGATAATATAATGGGCGTCTTATGAGCTTAATGTATGAGTAGTGCATTTCTATGGAAGAGTTTCTGATTAGCCTGGCCCATTTATAATATGATTGTTTTCTATGCGATATTCTGTTATGCTATATAACTAACTTTCTTTTGAACTAATATTTATTGCAAATGTTTACTGAAAGACTAATGCAGTGCAATCTCTATAAGAAAATGACAGTCTATGGGATTCAAGGTAAACAGAATGTAATTATTATTGCTTACATTAAGTATTATACATGTTACTATAGTGTCGATGTGAACGCGTGTGTCGGTCCTCCAACATAATTAGCGCAAACCCATACATCCGATGAAACTAAACGTTTTAAACATAAAATGACAATAAAATTAATAATTCATGCATTAAAGTAACTTTAAACAACTCACACACAGTGATGCTATACGTTAACCACTATTCGGGTGATTCTCAAAGAATAGATTAGCATTATCTACACGCTCAATAAGAGTCCATAGGATTAGTACTCCCCATAGACTTAGCATTGTCTATAGACTTAACATTAGTCCATAGGATTAGCATTAGTCTCATTGAGTTAGCAGTATCCATGTTATTCTTATGCCATAGACTTAGCATTGCCCATGTTATTCTTATGACATAGACTTAGCATTGCCATAGACTTAGCATTACTCATGTTATCCCTATGCTATAGACTTAAGCTGTAATCTCTTAGAAACCCATGTTAAAACGTCCCCATGTTAATTTTATGAGAGCTTTCCCATGTTAATCTTATGTCATAGACTTAAGCTGTAATCACATGTTAAATCCCATAAGGTGGGGAGGGGCGGAGGGGAGGAAGGGGTAGCCGAACGATCCTATAAACCACATTATTCATATCAGAATAGTGGTATGTTATTATAATGTTAATGCATCTCAAATTAAATTAATTTGAATCTAACACTAATTAATTTGAATTGATATTTAACATATTGTAACTTTACTTATTAATTTTATACTGACAAGGAAACCGGAACTCATTTAATCGCCAGAACTGGATTTAATGGTGATAAAAAATATAAATTAAATATCTCGGGCTGATAGCCATAAACTCGCGAGATATGACCATTTTGTGATCGCGCCCATACAGCATATAGCAATGCAGTACTGGTGATTGACCCAAGCACTGTGTGAAACACCGTTTTTCAATGCTATACGCCGTATACGCGGAATCACCAAAATGGCCATATCTCGCGAGTTTATGGCTATTAGCCCGACATATTGAATTTATATTTTTTATTTAGTCTAAACTATATGATTAGTGGCCTTTTATTAAGATATCGCTCGACAAGGGGGTACCCTCTGCTCGTGAATATAATATCGATCAAGCTTTAAAATATGGCAACTCACCGAATTGATTATCATAAAACTGTCCTAATGAATAATAACCAGTTCATTCTTGGGATTTATTCACTTAGTATATATGAAATACATAAATTAATTGCCTTTATCGCAATTATTTGCAAATGCACCATGGTCATTAAATAATATTATAATATATAACATAATCATACTAATGACCATGGTTAGTGGCTATACAAGTATATGAATGGTTTCACTTAAAATAGTAAAATGTCGTTATGAATAAAATGTATATGTTACATTTGGTTTACGTGTATTCAAAAATACTCGACTTTTACTTATTTTAGTTGTTCTTTGTATGAATAAATAATCAGCTAACTTAAAACTACGTACATCTTATTGTATGTGGGTCTCACTATGTCTGCGATGTGCTATGGGATAAAAATACAAGTAAATTTCGTTTATCAATTATGCATGATAATATATTCAATAATACAATTTATTTATCAGATACAATGGTAATACAAAATATGCCTCTATTTATAACTAGTCTCAACACATCACTGGTTTAGTTGAATGTAAAGTATTTTATTGATTATATGGTTTGGTTGTTAGAGACGCGCAAAAGATATGATAATTGCTATGAATGTTAAAACTACATCTATTATTACTACAGTATGTAACATAGTATTTGTCAATAAAAAAAATGTTTTAATTGTATTTCATAATAATTTTAGTTATAAATATTTACAAAAAATATAAGTCGGTTATTAATGAGGTCTCATTTTATATTAAAATTATAGGTATTATAAAAGTATATCTTAAATAAGTGACAATATTAAAAATTACAAATAATTAATAACAAGGATTAATGAAATTATATCTCAGAATTAAAACTCAATACTTACATAATATGTATTTTATTGTTTAATT